GTAGCTGTCCAATAAGTTAACAATGGAAGTGTTCGACTTTGGTGATATGTTTTAAGTAAGCTATAAGCCGACCAGATATTAGACTGTCCTCGGCGCTAACGCGACACGGTCCGTCGAATATCTGATATAATAGAGAGTTTTCGGCTTAAAACGAATTATTTGATATGCAAGTGCATTTTCTTAATACGATCATTTTTTAAACCGAGGCAAGCTACTGACAAATAAGTTTTCTTACTGGAATTTCCAAAGCTTCATTTAAAGTCGTCATTTTGTAAGTTCTGTGATCGTTAAAATAACTTTCTTGTGAATACAACCTATCATTGGGTCGTAATTTAAATTCATATTTCATACCAATTGTTAGGGTTTTACTTTTTTCCCCTTTTAATTTGACTACAGATTATTTCGTCTACCTTATCACTACATCATGTTTACGGTGAGGGTGACCGATCGACAGGGGATGTTTTCTTTTCCTTGGCTACTGATTACACTTCTGAAATTTCCAAGGTTTCTGTTTTATGCCCTGATCACGGATTTTTTTTTTTTTTTTTTTTTTAAGATCAATCATTGTTTGTTATTCATGAGTACTGTACAACCATATATTTGAGAAGTGATGTTAATCAGATGTAGACGTTTAAACTCGAAGGAACTTTTAGAAAATTTGAAATCAAGAAAATTTTATCAAATCAGTAACATTAAAGCGTACTATTATTCACCACACACTATATACAACCATTTCCCATGATAAACGTCCATCCACGCTTTTTGACATCATAGACACTTGTTTTTTCTATAAAAATGGAACTCGTAAATTAACTTAACTTTTTATTGTTCGTTTGAAAAAAAAATGTTTTGTTAAAAATATATTCTGATTTTAAATAAAAGTACTCCAAAGTTGATAAAAAAAAATACTTGAGTTTCTGATTGACATTAACTATGCCATTAACCATTAACTATGAAGTTTTGGGGATAATCCTTCCAATAATCTCCTGGCATTCCAATGGGTACTATTTTCGCTCTGTTATAAGCAGATTTATTGTTGTATTTATATGAAGCCGAATTTATTCAAAAACTTCTAAAAGAAAAGAAGAAGCCTCTTGCTATGGTCGTCAATTCAACATTTAGATATATCGACGTCTTTTTATCAATTAGCACTATTTATTTTCAATCCAACGTTGATTCGATATATCTCTTTGAACTCGAAATAAAAGACAACACAGAGTTTGGCACATCTGTTTTAAAGTTAAATATTTTACTGGGAAGACTTTAAAGAATTTTTATCATGTCTCAAAATTTTTTAATATGACAAACTTTACATGCTATCAGAATTCAGATTTGAAAAATTATTTGCTAGAAAATAGATATTTTTAATGTTTCAGCGATTCAAAGTTTGAATTTCTTAATATGCGTATTTTGATCGCCGACGTTACGCGCTATTGCTCTGACATCACAGGTGTCAATCCTAGTCAAGCGAAGTTACTAATTGTGTTTACAAGGTGTGTTCCCCGAACGTCTACTGGACTAAATCAACATCTAATTTTCACACTCAATTAAGGGGCCCTGTAAGGGGTACAGGTAGGATCTACAATCATTTATGAACTAGCTTTACCTGTTTTTATTGAAGGAGGAATTCTAAAGCAACAATAATGTTTGACATCTCTCCTGAAACATGGTTTCAACATGGAAATATTGATAAAAGATATTTATTGTTTTAACATGATTTTTTTTTCAGGGGAAATGTAAAATCTTAAAGATTTTATGCATTAGTTAAAAAATGCTAAAAATAATGTGTTTTATTTTCATAAACAATTTTTTAGCAAAAATTTAAAAAAAAAAAAACTTATCTGATTTTTCTTGACATTTTCTATTAAATATTTATATTATCCATTTATTTAGGGAAAACTTTAAACTCTAAAGGATCTTATTTGCAATCTTTTCATTTCCTCCTAAAAAGCATCCAAAATTCATAAAAATTAATTTAAAGTAATATCGATCTTTCCATACTTAAGCCATATTTCAGAGGAGATGTCTTAAAGATCGGTTAAATAAAATTTCCGTGAACATGTAAGTAGCATTCTTTCTTAAACAGGAAAAATCTATCGATCATATGTCATTTTAAATAAATTTTGTTTTACATACATTTGATTTAATTTAGTTTTAATCATCATTTCAAAGAATTAATTTTAAATATTATAACAATAAATAATTTCAAAATCTTTGTAAGTTTGTATCATAAAACTCAATCACAATATACATGTAATTTATTTTGGTCAAAAATCTATCAAGAAGAGTAAGATACGATTATATTTGAAAAAAAAAATCATTTTGAATTTTACCCCCCCCCCCAACTTTAGATATTGCTTCCAAACAAAGAGGTAGCAATGGTTTAAACAGTGGGAGAAGGGGCAACCCCCCAGAGAAATCTAACAAGTAAAATTTAAATAATTTTTTTTAAAAAACCTTGAAAATCCTATTTTATGTGTTCGTGTGTGGGGAGGGGTGGACTTTCTCTGTTTGAAGATTTTTTTTTTTTTCAAGTGCTGGAATATTCGCCAGTGCTCGACCTTACAGCAACCACGTATTTTTTTTTATTTACTGAAAATTTCGGCTAAATTGATAGGTACGCGAACTCCTGTGCAGCAACAGAGTGTAAGAGGGGGCAACATCTAAATGAAAATTTACACATTAGATCTAGAGGAATAGACTATACTACAGGAAAAGTCTTTGCTAAGAAAAATGCCCCCTCCCCCCTTTTCGTTCTATGGACCTGTAAATGCGATGTGAAAAAAGTTCTCCATGTTTAATATAGATTAGACAAAGCTTAAAATGTTAAAATTTGGTGTAAGTGATGCTTCAATTAAGTGCTAAATGTTAGGTTAAAAAAGTTATGCTTGAAAATAATTTATAATAAATATAACATGTACATGTACATGAAAAAATATTTAATTGTTTAGTGCCTTCAATTATAACAAGTATTTAATCAATAAATCTATGCTTTAGTACACAGTTTTATCAGTAAATATTAAATTATTTGATTTTGACTACTTTGTTCAATCAAGGTAACACAGGTAAACTCTACCTGGACCCCTCAGAGGGCCTCTTAATTGAGTGTGATAATTAAATAGTTGTTTTAGCCAGTAGACGTTCGGGGAATAAACCGTTTACAAAACGGCTCATTTGTTGCATCTATTAAACCTGTTAGAAAATAAATAAGTAATAATTGGATAATTGATAGCTAGTACGGTATAATTTGAGGCGTTTAGATGCACAAATGTGCACAAGAAAGGTTTCGATATCAATGTTTGTATTGTCAAATTTCCATTTGTTTGTATTGTCTCAATGGACTCTTGTGCTTGATTACTGATCGCTACCTTCACATCTAACTTCATCTACTTCATTCAAAAAGTAAGAAAACATGAACAAACTCTTTCAGAATTTTTTATAATATACATATATTTTCTAAAATTCATAGAATAAATGTTCTCAAGTCACTACAGAACATTCAAAAGGTTAGTTTGAGAAACAATTTCAAAAAGGTTTTTCCAAGATACATACAAATCGTTTGGTTAGTCCGGAAATAAAACTGAAATACAAATTCATTCAAATTCCACTCTTTGAATTTTTTTACTTTAAATTCTCAACTTCAGTGTTTTATATATTTAAATCATATGCATACTTACTTAGAAGACACCAATAAAATATTTTTATATATATTAACATGACTTCAGACCTTAAGAAACTTATGGATTTGAAATACAATCAATTTCTCTCAGCACGAATCCAGAAGCCCCAAGAAATATGTGGTGGCTTATTTTTCGGTGTAAACCATGAAAAAAAGAGTTTTGTATCCGCATTGTGATTGTAATATTTGTGCTTTAACATTGCAGCTAATCATGTGCTTTATTCTGTTTAAATATTTCCCTTTTTCATTTGTACTTGGCAATAAAACTAAAAAAAAAAGTCAAAAGTCAAAAGCAATGAAGAGTTTTGGATCGCCAAAGTTGAGATAATATGATAAATACGCTTATAAACATTTCTGGAGGATTACTTTTGTACGTTTTATTTATCGACAATAAGAGTTCAGGCACTCAAGTTCCTATTGTAGATAACTGCATTGTTACAGAACAGTTCTTAAAGAACATGTTTGTTTAAAACTGTGGAGAGCTATATAACAGACCGAAAGTCCAGCCATATCATATGAATAAAAATCTCATATGAAGGTGTGTGATAACGTAACCTGTCGAGCATTAACCGACCACAAGATGAAATATGGAGTTGGTTATTTATACAGTACCATTTTTACAGTCTTCAAATAGCTTTTTGCATACAATACTCATAAAAAGACAAATCATTGATTTTCTCATTAAGAAAAAAGACGACTGGATGTAAGAAACTATGTAAATCCCATGTTTAGGTTTAACGTCGCACTGTACTTTTTCATTAAAGAAAAAAGGGAAAAAATACAATGTAGAAGGCAAATACATATAAAAATGTTCAGTTCACATGGTTTTTGTTAAATTTGTTCAGTAATATATATATATATATATATATATATATATATATATATATATATATATATATATATATATATATATATAGAAAGCACTACAAAAACCAACAACACTGTATATCCTAAGTGTCGGATCTACTAAATAGATACAAGGTCAAGGATGGTAATTTATATAAAGCACTAAAAATGACCAACGACACGAACAATAGAAATTGTCAAATTTTCGGGACGCCCTGTCCCTTCCTCAGGACAAAGAAAAAAAGTTGAGAAGTCATAAAAACAAAGGAAATAGAAAAACAAAAACGGCTAGCACTACTACTAAACTACCAAACATATATATATATATATATATATATATATATATATATATATATATATATATATATATATATATATATATATATATATATATATATATATATATCAAATGCTGCACAAAAATGTGACCTTCAGAGTTTAAATTTGATTAATTGTTCAAACATTTACATATCATTTAATAACAAAAAAATTGTCTGGAGTGTGTACAATTGATATCGTCCAGTCCTCCTGTGCTACACCACGAGGCCATGCTGAGATCGACACCAACACAATCAGTGTAAGAATCAGGCTGAGAGGGACACCATCCTTCTGTAACACGGGTACCATCAAGCCATTCGTAGGAGTTACTTCCTGTTCGCCGAGCATAAGCATGAATCCACTCTTTTATTAAAAAGGTAAAAATGAATTATTAAAAATATAAACTTCAAAAACATGAAAATATGCTTAACTTGTTTGCACACAATATACTTTTTCAAACATACTTAAATCAAGAAGGTGCATCAAATTTCGAATTTGAGTTGTACTTTTTGCCCCCATCATTGTTCTGCCTTCTGATTCACATTTAAGCTTGGCATCTTCATAAGGAAGAACATCAGTATTGATCCAGATACACGATCTGTACTCAGAGAACCATTCATCGCGTCCGGCCACACAGTCTGTAAACAGTAACAAAACCAGAGCTACTTACACAAAGGCAAAGATTTATTTGGAGTAAAACTGACTTAGACAATTAAACAAAATGGTTGAGTCTGAATACATGAGAGTACCCAGACACTGCAAACTACTACCATCTTGGCAAATTATACAAATATAATGGAAGATTTACACAACACTGTTTAATTTCTGCACTGTAAATTTCCAAAGTATCAAAAGTAGATTTCATTATTTGATACATTTCTATTATCATTTCCAAAAGATCATCACTTCTCAACAAATAAATCTAAATTTTAGTGTAGGTTTTAACTGCCTGTTCTGGGGTGCATATTCCATAACGAAAACAATTGAAGTATCCTTCGTATATCGATGGGTAAACAAGAAATTATAATTAGTGAGTCTGCTATTGGAAGCAACAGACTATCAGCGCAGGTTTTAACTGACTGTCCTAGGGTGCAAATACAATAGTGAAGCAATTAAAACATCCTTCATCTATTAATGGGTATGTTAGACATTATAGCTAGAGAGTCTGATATTGCAAGTAATAGCGTATATCAACCCGAACACATCCCAATGCTGAAGTTGAAACCAACGTAATCAAATACGCAAAAATTAGCAGTCTATGGGTATTTCAAAGATCATTTTCCTGAACCATGTCAATATCCAGTAGTCACATGACATCAACTTTTTTTTAAAATCAAGGCGTCTCGAAAGGGATATTGGTTCTTTTATTACAAGAGTTGTAGATATTTCCAATGATCCACTCCAATTTACAGATTTAAATAAGATGGGTATTATGACCAATCATATTAAAAAAACAGGAAAGCCAAACCCTTCAGTAGAGAGTCTCATAGGCAGAATACACGTGTAAAATTTATACAGAAATGCAATATATTTTCAATATATTAGTTTCTATATATGTCTGTTCCTTTAGCTTTTTCTGATGAATTTGTTACAGAGATCTCTGGAGTGAAACATAATGATATCGCTTATGTGATGTTGTCTTTTTTTCATTGTCAGTAAAGACTATTTGTGCCTGTAATTGATTTCTTTTCAAGGAAAAAATGTAGAACACCACAATTTGGCCTATGAAATTATTTAACCATGCTTAATTTGAATGTAAAATTTGTTTTACGCCATTTTTAAAAAGATATGAACTTCCTTTTAAAATAACACTGAAATCTCAAACTCACTGATTACTATTTTTTAAATATTACACAGATTCATCCCAATAAATTATTATCTTTTTAGACTAAACTTGATTGATTCTCCATCATGTACATTTTGGAGAAGTAACAAAGAAACAATCGATCACTTATTTGTTGAATGTTTTCAAGCAAAAGAACTCCTTGGTACCATTGAAGAATGGATCCTAGAAAAGTTTGATATTCATTGTATATCTGATTTACCAGCAATACTATTCAGTAAATATAAAAACATAAATGTTTATAAATTGTAAAATCTATTAAAACTTAATCTAAAACAATTTTTTTTAAAGTAAATATGAAACTATTCCAAAATTTATTGCTGATGCTGTAATAAGGTGATCACAGATAGAAGATTTATAGAGAAGGTTTTGTTATAAAAAGCTGTAGAGATGATGAATATCAAAGGCAATACATCTGTGATGCACTATAACTAACAGATATAATGAACTTCTAAAGGGACAGTAGAATTGACTCTGAATGTTAAAAATTCAGATCATTTTCCTAACTTTTTTTTTATTTATAAACTGTGTGTTGTTTTTACCATTCGATATTTTTTTTTTACTCATGTAAAGACATCACGATATACTGGCGAGGGACTTCAAAATTAAGGTTTATACTCGGTACTTAGTACCACTGAGCAGTAAGGACTCTCTTATAGAACATTAAAAACAGGTCACAGTAGCCTAGTGACAGGGCATTCGCGTCGGGATCGGGAGCCCCGATTCTCGTTCTAGGCACCATGTCAAACATAAGGACCGTTCACGGTAGCTCAGTCGGTAGAGCGCTCGCTTCGTGATCGGGAGGTCGTGGGTTCGAATCTCGGCCGCGACTGACCTAAGTCGATAAAAAATGGGTAGCAACTGTTCCTTCGCCATGCGCTCGGCACTTTGAAGTGAAAGTTGCGGGTCCTTCGGATGAGACCTTAAAAGCCGAGGCCCCGTGTCACGGAAGGCGTTGGCACGATAAAGATCCCTCCCTGCTCAATTGCCCTGAGTGCCGAGTAAAGGTCAAAATTTGAAGCCCTTCACCGGTATATGGTGACGTCTCTATATGAGTGAAACATTCTCGAATGGGACGTAAAACAACATACAATCAATCAACCAATCAAACATAAGCAGTGATTATTCCTTTACGAACCTCCCGATACTAGATGTGAGAGTCGAGAGTCTTTCGAGTGGCATCTAAAAACTGAGGTGTCGGCACGATAAAGAACAATTATTTTTTCCTCTTGCTGACTCAACCTTCTACACTCTGTCTTTTTATGAACAAAGGATCAGTGCACTTAAGCTATGAGAGTTGGATCCCGGTGCTTTGCCAATAATAAATATCCGAAATTTAAACTTTCTGAATCAGAATTATTAAACAATATCTTAAGAGCATGGTTTGATATATTATATCACATAAAAATATTAAATAATGCCGAGGGGGGTCTAGCAGTTTTGTCACATTTCTATTGCTATTCATATGCATACCAGTTTTAACGACATTGTTTACATCGCGCCGCAACTTGTCCATTCTTCTCATTTGCACAGAATGTGTCAACCTATTTTGACCTGTTTGATATTATAATCACTTTACTCACGTGACATTCCACTGTTCGATATGCTTTCATTGTGTCTATCAATGGACTTCAGGGCTGTACACACGGATATGTATTTAAGTACAAAATCTGACTATGTATAGACTTTTAATACAGTGAATCCTCAGATTTTTCGAATCTTATAAAACTGTATTAAGAAAAGGGCAATGCTCTGTTTCTTAATACAAGTCTTAACTTACCTTTCATTTTTAAACCAATCAAAAGTACTCAAATTGTGGTCATCCTATTTTTATCCTAACAAAAAAAAAGCACGTGGTAAATAATGGTCGACTTTAGCAGTAAAAATATCGAAAAACTCGTTGTTTTATGGGAAGAAGATCAAAAGGAGTAACTACATGTAATTGTAAAAGTTGCTCAAATGCAGCGTTATCTATCCTAAAGAAGTTTTTATAAATACGGGGGTCTTCTCTTGACACCTCATCTAGCGATGCACTGTGTGCACCAAGTACATATACAAGTGTTCCGCCGCTGTTTCCATAACGATGTTGTTTTTTTCCAGTTTTAATGCAATGCATAATACGATAACAGATACAGATAACAGAACCTCGTTTTCCATTATTGAGAGAGAGAGAGAGAGAGAGAGAGAGAGAGAGAGAGAGAAATATTGCGAGGGAAGCACGTAGAAATCCCTAAAGTCTATTATCAAATCTAATAAAACGTATAAACGTGTGTACAGGAAAGTATTATAATACAAATATATAATATACAGTTACAAATCTCACCGTTTGTACCGACTTGAACAACTTCAAAATAATGAAGAATTTTGCGAAAATTTTATTAGGGTCTTAAAGTGTACCTTGTTTTCTTTCGCTAAATTGTGTTTTTCGTTTGGTATTTTGAAGGAAATTCTGGTATTGCCAGTGCAAATCAAGTGCACGATTAGTATGTAGCTGTGTTAGCTCATGTCGCCTCTGTATTATGGTCTGCAGGCATCTACAGACACATCCCTAAACACTAGTATCATACCTGACAATATTTGGATTGCCGAAATGAAAGAGATATTGAAGACATAAGCGAGTGATTATCGATATAGTAACGTTGTAGAATTTTCGTTGACCTTGTTTTTTTAATCTGAAATATACTTGTTCCGTCAATAAAATGTTAATTCAAATTACAGATAGTTTTTATTTCTTGGAGTTTTCATGTTAACCTATAGATAGCGACTCAAATTTTAAGTTAAAATTTTTTATTTCATTTCCGAATATTATTTATCTTATACATGCATATAATAAAATATGTATCAGCGTGAGTACTACATACATGTATAATTTGTTTCACTCCACGTTTGTATTACTCTACGTACTACATGTAAAGTGAATTACGATTAAATGTAGTGTGACATCGAAATCATGTAAATGTGAATCTTTCTTAAAACATACATTCATTCTTTGAGTTGAAAAGCATTCCGCATATAAAACGAAAAATGATAAAGCTGAAGAAAAAAAGGGGGTATTATTTTTTATCATATACTTAGATCTAGTTTGATCTAATTCGGTGCTAGGCATCAAACATATGGATACGAATCATGAAAATGATCAATATGTATGACCATGAATCATTTATCATTTGTGTGAATCATGAAACTACACAATCTTTCTCTCCTCCATTTAAATTCATACTGTAGAATCAATATGGAAATAATGTGCAAATGTTTACATTCCACTTCCATGCGATTTAAATATCTCCGCCCATTTGCGGGTACCTTAAATTCGAAAGTGGTCCAGTTCAAATTTCCGGAATTTCTTATACATGTTCTTTTAAATGACGTTGTGTGGAATTATAGCAATATGTTTAAATAAAGATTCGAAGTATAATTATCAAAAGCATATGTATGCACAATAATCATAGATTAATTTAGCAGTATAGTCTAATTTAAGGCTTAAAATGGGTGGCCGATAAGGCTCCAAATGACACTCTAAAGTGTATTCGCTGTTATAACAAACATGATGCATCGTTTTAAATTAATGAATACTGTTCGTTATCTCCATATTTATTTTTTAATTTTTTTTTTTTCATCATGCCTTCTTTTGATAGTTAAGTAATAAACTTGTCCAATGGATATTTTTTTAATCAATTTCTTTTAGAAAAAGGCTTTGATATAAGCAAGAAACAATTCTTTGAAGTTTCAAAAGATTGGCTTGGCAGTTACTGAGAAATGTGAAATAGAAAAAAAATGTTTCAAGGGCAACGGTCGCCATTTTTAAAATTTAAAATGTGGAAAGAACAACTAAGGTTTGTGATTATTATTTCTTTGAAGTTTCATCAAAAGTGTCCAACCCATTTTTGAAAACATTAATTTTGCGGATAGCAATAGTATGTTGCCAATACTTTTGTGTTCAGGGTGACATAATTTACTCTGAACATTTGATTAATTTTAGAAATGCACAAATGAAACTGATAATGTAAAACATAATTATATTGAAACTTAAAGATATTTATTCTTACTAGGTGGCATCCTCTGATAAAACTGGTTCCCTGCTTCATTCGTCACTGCTTTGTATCCTTCCCCGTTATATAAATCACACTCCTTGGTAACTTGATTATAACGGAATTGTTTACATGTGAATATAATTTGACATTTTAGAGCACAAGAAGAAGGTGTGTGGTCCACCTCAGTATGCATAGGAATCTCCGAAATACCACGATTTTTCAAGCGCGGTACGACTTTCCATGTGTAATTGCCGAAACATTCTACAAAACAAGATACGGTTACTTACTGACACTCTTATGAATGATTTGCATATAATTATAATTTCATACTGAAAAATACTTAAAAAAAGGAAATTAAAAAAACACATACCTTTTATGAAACCGAATAGGATACATTGCCAGCAAAACACTATCGTGCGCATCCTCACATGGAGTTAACTGACTGGCTACCTGACTGAAGATATGCAGGCAAATGCCGTAGAGATGCAAATATCCTCATCGATCTCAGCTTAGATACATTTATTTCCATTCTAGTAGTGTAATTGGTTTAAAACGTAAGTTAAATTACATCTGACTCTTCTGTGGGATACATTCTTCCTCAATTACCATCATTTCTTAAAAGGAAACCGAATCAATTAAACATTGATTTTGATTTACTTTTTAGCTAAAATTGCCAGAGATTTCAATTAGCTTCAGGGGTATTTTGTTTCAAGCTTGATGCCACGTACTCGCTTTAAAAACATATCTTTTTTTGTACGTAGAATGAAAGATAAGGACCTTAAAATTCTATGCTATGCGACTTTACTGTATCTTAATTACAAGAATAATTCACGCAAAAACTGCTTAAAGTGATTTTGAAAAAAAAAATGTTTCAAGCGGATCAAATGGGGGTTTCGTTGCCTAATACTTACCCCGGTGTATTAAAATAGAGCGTTCTTATCTTCAGACATACTGTACTACAACATTTTCTAGATATTCAATTGAGGATTCTCATAAACTTCAATGAACTTTTATAAAATTTAAAATCACATTTTTTTTCAAAGTTAGTAACATTAAAAGGCATGACTTTTTCCTTTTCTACTCTTTGTATAACCATTCCTCTTGATGAATTAAACAATAGCCTTTTTGAAATAATAGGCAACTGCTTCTTCACTAAAAATAGATCTTGGAAAGTTTCATATCATAATTGGTTATCCAAAAGAATCCTTTGTTTAGAAGTATTATTGCACACACATTCAAACAACTTTTCTTATTTATGTAGTAATACTCTGCTATCACCTGCATATGGTGTTTACGTTTCCCAAGTTATTTGATACCAAATAGCATGCTCTGAGTACGATCAGTTTTTAAACCGAGGTAGACTACTGATAGATTTATTGATGTTACATGGATTTCAACAACTTCCTTGAAAATCAGTATTTCATAAATTCTTTGGTCGTTGTTGTAATAACCCTGTTAGCAAGGAAAACCGATAATTAAATCGTATTTTGGTTGACATGTTTCGTAACAATTGCTAGGCTACTATTTTTTATACTTTTGTCTACGGAATACTCCGTCTACCTGATCAATATATAGAGCTCACGGCCCTGGTTACCGATCAACAGGGGATGCTTACTCCTCCTAGGCACCTGATCCTGTCTCTGCTAATTTCGAGGATCCGTGTTTACAGATTTGTATTGATTAGATTTTTTCTTAAAAATCACGTCAATTTTTAAAATATTTTTAATATTCCAAACATTCAGAATGAATCCGAATTATCATACCTATACAGGATTCATAAATTTCATAAAAATCCTTACAAAGATACATAGCGGATTCCAGTAAATGTTCTACCTTGCGTCTTTCTATGCTCACAAAAATATTAATAGCAGTGAAGGAGTAACTTCAGGAGTATTGAACAACAATATATTCGAGAACCGATGTTAATCAGATTTGGGTATTTAAAATCTCCAAGAAACGTTTAAAAAAATTGAAATCATAAAATTTTAAAGAAAAAAATATCTAACTGTACGACTTTTCTACACCTCATAGAAACATTCCCAGAGATAAAGTCCAGGCTTTTTTAACATAGTAGACAGCTGCTTTTTCCAACAAAAAAAAACGAACTCGTAAATTTACTTACCTTGTCATTGGGCATTTCAAAAATTATTTTGTTCCAATGGCACCCCGTTATAAGCAGGCCTGTTGTTGTATTTATATTAAGCGGAATGTATTCAAAAACTTCTACATGAAAAGAAAATAAGTCTGTGACCTTCAATTCAACATTTAGGTATATCGATGAATTTCTGTCAATTAACAATATTCATTTCCATGTGCCTACGTTGATTTGATAAATTCCTTTGAACTCGAAATAAAAGATACCCCACACACAGAGTGTGACAATCTGTTTCATATCTGGGTATTTTACTAGAAAAAGACGTTAATGGTAACCTATAAATAAAATTTTATGATTACCGTGATGACTTCACTTTTCTATCGTCAGCTCCCCTTATTAATATTGCAATATACCATTATCATCTGCATATGGACTTTATATCGGACAATTTCTAAAACGAGGTAGGCTATTGACAAATAAGTGGATGAAACAGGAATATCAACTGTTTCGTTTAAAGTCAATATTGCACAAGTTTTATGGTTGATACAAGGACTGTGTCAGAAAATGCAGTCTATCATTAAATTAAATGTTAAGTGACGTTTTTCATAAAATTGTTAGACTATTTACACACTGAATTACCCACGGATTCATCCTTTTTCCCAATCATGACAAGGAGCACACGGCGGATGTGACTAGTCTACATGACTCTTTCTCGTCCATGGCACCCAATCTCATTTCTGATGGTGTTAGAGGTTTGCTCTGCTCCAAATTTGTATTGTTTCAATGGAATTATGAGCTTGATTACCGTTCGTTATCTTCATATTTTGTTGCTCACTGTACATTATCTTCACCTTTTTCATACAGTTTTTGGGATGCTTGTTTACTTTGTTATTGATCTCTGATACAAGTCTAATAAAATTATATGGATGTGGAGATATTCATGTATTGTATCATTAATCTATGATGTTATCATTGGGTTAACGTTGTTAATTGTATCATTGATCTCTGAAACAATCATTGTGATGTTTGTTAACTGTGTCATGGTATCTTATTTAATCATTGGGACGGATTGTATCATTGATCACTGTAGAATAATATTTCAATATTATCATTGAAATTCCATTACCCCATTAATAATGGTTTGTTGCAAAGAGCTTAACAACGGAAATGATGTGGTAGCATCCATTCGTCCATCCATCGCTGCGTGATGAAAATGATTTATCTGATGTGTCATGCAGCTGTAATCAATTAGAAATGTATCCAAGTCTGCTTGTGTAGGTTTGAGGTATTAAAAATCTTGATTTAATGTCAGGAATGATGTGTTTACAGATAACTCACTAAAACGATTTATTGAAAATAAAATGTATCCTGCAGGTTCAGAAGATAAAAGGCATCCTGATTTGAAAATATGTAATGAGATTTCGATGACAGGTGAATTATCATAAGGAAAATCTTTTGTCGAAATCCTTTTTCTCTGGGTAAGCTTTAACTGTGCGCTTAAAGTCATTTATTGATAAGGAAAATATTTGTAAATTGACAATTATATTTAAAAAAATTAAAATATGAATCTAAAATGCTCTTTATTGCTAAAATACATCTGTGTTTGTTATCTTCATCTTTTACACTGAATAATTTACAACGGTTCTAAAATTTTGTTCATAACCTGTTATTGTTTTCTTGGTTCGCACCCTCATACGTCATAAGAAGCTTGCACAAAATGAGTTTTCATTTTAAAAATACATTAAGAGTGAATAGTGAAAGAAAATCTGAGAGAAAAAATGCTAATGTAGACTAAAACAAAGGTATATTTCAACAAGATTTCTACAGCCATCGTAAAAAATAAATTTAAACGAAAAATCTGCATAGAATTACATGCATAGCAGTTTATTCAGAAGGTCTCATTTTTTCTGATCAAACTTTTTTTTTATTTTTAATGCTTTTTTAATACGAGGTAATTTATCAGTTTCTAGCTTAAAATTAAAATACGAGAGCTTGTTGTATTTTGTATCCTGTCACTGATGCGGCTGCAAAAGCTTTATTTCAATTACTTTACTGTAGAATTGTATATGAACAATCGGTTTTTAGTTTATACATGCTACTGTATAAAACGTTCTAAGGTGAAGTCCACAATACTTGTCGGATATATTTAATTTTACATGTAAGTCTTTTTAATCCTACCATCTTAGATCTAACCCAAGCTCTTTTTCTAACATACAAAACTAAAATAATAGAAAATTCATTCTGGTATTTTGTTTATGTATCGCGGAACAAGTAACCTTATGATTAAAGTACATCGGAAACTTCAAAAAGAATACATCTAGAAAATTTATAATAGATCGACAATAAATCTTAATTCCAGTACTACAAATTTATGTGTGGATTGTTTGAATAGTACATTTATTGACTGGGTTTGATGGCAACATGCGTTTTGTCGGAGCCAAGAACCAAACTGTTTGCCCGAGGTCGTTAGGCCGAAGGCAAACAGTTTGGTTCGAGGGGTCGACAAAACGCATTTTGCCCGAGAACACAGTCAATACATGTTTTGTTATACCTTTTATTTATTAATTTTATTATTATTATTTTTTTTTTTTTTTGATATACATGTATGTCCAAACCAACAAATGCAATTGAGATTTAGCTAACCCCGCCCCTTGTGTGACGTAAGCGGTCCAACATCTCATCGACAGGTCCACCATCTCACTCCGCGGTCAAACATCGATTTTTTTTATGCCCTCTCAGTAAAACATTGGAAATATTAAGATTTTTAATAGTATTGATTTATTTAGGAACAATTTTTTAAAGGTATAACAAAACATATTTTTACATTTTGTACAATGTATTTTGAAAAGTATTACTAGAAATTTATGGAAGTAAAAATCTCCAAAAATTAGACAAGAAAATGTGATAAATATATCAGTGTATGTGCGAAGAAGTGGATGCTGAAAAAGACCGCGAGCTATTTTATTTATTCGACAATTGTCAATTATATTCATGGATAAATGATTTTTATAAGTCTGATTATTTCAACGGTAAAAGATTACGAACAGGTGTTCCTGTTAATTGAAAAGTTACCTGTGACTTTTTTTTCAGTCCACAGTATTTGACAAGCTGAAAATCATTATAACCCCCCCCCCCCCCTCACCCAAGAAAAAAATTTGAAAAGTAGTTTATTGCATTCACTTATTTTTTTTAATTCATTGATTTTTTTTATCTTTTGTTACATGTCGTTTTTAAACGTAAATACTTGTATAGCATAATTATAAAAAGTGAACACAACGAACAGAAATCGATCTCCAAAAAAATCTACAAACATTACAGATCTGTGAACAGGGCATAAAAGACAGACCCCCGGAAATTCCAGTAGCGAGATCAGGTTCCTAGGAGGAGTAAGCATCCCCTGTTGTCCAGTTACAACAGCCATGAGCCCTATATATTTATAAGGTAGACAGAATATTCTGTAGTCAAATAAAGTATATGTATAAAAATAAAGGCCTCACAATTGGTATCACAAACG